GTTCAAATACATCTCTGGGAGATGCTTAGCAAGCAGCACTAACTACGACGAAGTAGGCAGCAAGCATAGAACAGCCTGGTCAAATGAAGTTGTGAAGACTTGGCACATATAGAACAGCCTAGAATCTTGTTCTTATAGAGTTCTTTTTAAGAGAAGTTAGCTTACTGACACCGGCATTGCCTCCTGGCTTCACTTTCTAATACCACAGTTCGCCTTCTGGCTCTAGCCCCAGAATCAGCATTGCCTCTACTTTCACAACCCATCCACACCAGCGGAGACCACTAGCTAATGGAGGCCACGGTGCTAAGTATTGGCAATTCCGTGCTGAATGGAGCGCTTAGCTACGCCAAATCTGCTATGGCAGAGGAGGTGGCTTTGCAGCTCGGAGTGCAGGGTGATCAGGCTTTTATCACGGACGAGCTTGAGATGATGCAAGCTTTCCTAGAGGCCGCACACGAGGAGCGAGACCAGGGTGAAACAACTCTGCGACGTTGCCTACGATGTTGAGGACTCCCTCCAGGTAATTATAAGAGTGAATATGTGTGGGTTAAAATTTTCGCATCCCTTAGCATGTTGGTGCAAAATCCCGTTAATTTTTTCTTCTTAATTATCTGCATTTCTTGGTCAGAAAAATATGGACATGAGTGCTGCATAGTTTTTTGCTATCCAAAATGACATGCAATATTTCTTGCAAAAAATGATATGCAATATGAAGCTCCACACTATTCAGCCATAAGAACCAAACATAGGTATTGAAATATCATAAATTAGTTGGTTATATCTCTTAGCTTAAGTTCAACTTATGCTTTGATAGTGAAACAAATAGTAAAATGCATGGCTGGTGATAGCTCTCAGATGATAAAACTATCACGAATGTCTTGCTCAGTTAATTTCATGAGCTATAAATATGTATGTCCTAGTTTTCATGATCAGTCTAATGCAGTTTCGTCAGTATTGAGTTGGTATTTGATCCAATGATATCCTTACCTTCAGGATTTCGCTGTTCGTATTGAAAATTATTCCCGGTGGCGCCACTACTGGAATCGGCCTATACGACGAGTGCCACGGACACTCGGCAAAGGACCAATAACCGCCGGCAACACCTTTTCCAAGAGTTGCACTCGGCAAAGGCCACCCAGCGTACGCCTGTCAGACAAACATGAATTTGCCAAAAGCCAGGACACAGGCACTCGGCAAAGAGTTTGCCGAGAGCCAAACAGTTCCACTCGGCAATATAAAGTAGCTAACAGACAACAGAATGGAACGACGGTTACCACGTGGCGCAGCTTTGCCGAGAGGCACTCTCGGCAAAGAGAGCCAATTGGGAAGTGCCACGTGTCTAGCTTCTGACATGTGGGTCCCCGTAATAGGCCGATGGAGATCTTTGCCGAGAGCCACTCTCGGCAAAGAGAGCCAGTAGGAAAGTGCCATCTAGCTCCTGACATGTGGGTCCTCAATTATAGGCTGAGGGCCATCTTAGCCGAGAGCTACTCTCGGCAAAGGGAGCCAATAGGAAGGCGCCACATGTCCAGCTTGACATGTGGGTCCACCATAACAGGCCAAGGGCCATCTTTGCGGAGAGCCACTCTCGACAAAGGGAGCCAATAGGAAAGTGCCACGTGTCCATCTCCTAACATGTGGGTCCGCAATAATAGGCCGAGGGCCTTCTTTGCCGAGAGGCACTCTCAGCAAAGAGAGCCAATTGGAAAGGGCCTCGTCAGTTGTCCTGAAAGCCGAGTCCGTTCTTTGCCGAGAGGCCTCTCGGCAAAGAGAGCCAATAGGAAAGGGCCATGTCACTTGTCCTAAAAGCCGAGTCCTGCTTTACCGAGAGGCCTCTTGGTAAGATTTCAGGAGCCACTATAGGTTGTTACCCTTTTTCGACAGTCCTCTCGATAAAGGTGGCAGGTTCTGCTGGTTCGTACTCTTTACTGAGAGGCCTCTCGGTAAAAGTTGTATCTTGGTCTAGTTCAGGATGAGACCGCGCTTCGCCAAGTACCACGCCTTGACCGCCTCGTCGTTGCTCTGGAGCATGTCCGCCCCGCCCAGCAGGAAAGCCAGGTCGGTGTTCCTCTTCTTCGCGGCGACGTTGGTTCGGAGTAGGTCGAGCTTGACGGCGCTGCTCGTCATCCACGCCGACCATCGTGCCTCGGTCTTCTCTTCACGCAGGACGGCTCGGGCCTGTGCGTCGGCGAGGCAATGCTTGATGGACTCCTGCACACGCGCAGTAGCCGCGTCGACGTGTTTCTCCTTCTTGGCCCCTTTGTTACCGTCCGGTTGGCCCTCTGACGCGCCCGGCGTCGGCATGTCCGGCTTGTAGGTCTCGTTGGCCTTGTCGAGGGTACGCCGGACTTCCGCCCACTTCTCACACTTGTCAATGCGTTTGTAAACGTGGAGGTACTTGAACTCTTGGTCGCCGTTGCCTAGGAGATACAAGGCGAACATGCGCACCAGCTGCGTGGAGGAACAAACAGTTGGCGGGCGCGCACGGCGAATAGAAGCGGGAGACCGGCGTGCCGTACCTAATCCTCGACGTTGGCGCCGCTCTCCAGGCGAGCCGCGATCTCCTCGATGACCCCATGCCATTTGTTGCACGCCGCCTGGATGATCCCCCAATGATTCGCCATTGCCTTCGCCCCGCGCTGCATGTAGACGCCTTTAAAGTAGGGGTCGACGAGCTTGCGCTCGTCGGACTCGGCCTTGATGCGCTCCCAGTACGTCTCGATTCTCTGGTTTGTGCCGGTGGTCGGGTCGAGGCAGACAACTTTCCATGCTTCGGCGAGGCATTCCTGTTCCTTGGACGTCCATTTAATGCGCGGCTCGCCGGTCCTGGTCGCCCCCTTCTGCTTCTTGCGCCTCCTCGCCGGGACAGTCGCCGGCTCCTCGTCCTCCTCGTCGTGCTCCTCCAGCTCCTCCTCGCCGTACTCAAGCTCATCGTCCATGCCGCCGTTGAGGTCCACCATGTCGTCCTGGGTAGCGAACCCGGGGGCCGCGGCGGCCGCGGCCGAGCCTGCCGCAATGATGTCGTCCATGTCGGCGTCGGTCTCGTCGGTGTCGCCGAGGTGCGATGTGGAAGCTTGGGAGAAGGGCAGCGGAGAGGGGGCGTCGGGGAGCACGCGTAAGCCGGCGGTGAGTAGTTGTATGGAGGCTACTGCACGTCAGCAAAGGCGGGCGAGGGCCTGTGCTGGGTTGGGTGTCCATGGGGAAATGTGACATTGGGGTTGAACCCACCGTGTGTGTCCCCGTCGGCGTAGCCCGGCGACGACGTGTATCCCCATGGTTGTGGCGGCGACGAGAAACCGGACGGAGAGCCGACGCTTTGCTGGCTCCAGGGTACGTACTGGGCATGGCCGCCTGGTGGATTCATCATCCCCAAGCGAGTCGCCTCGGCCTCGGCTTGTTCCGCCGCAGCCGCCGTGGCATGCGCCGCGTTGTCACGGGCTTTCTTGGCGATTGCCCTATTCCGCCTGTCGGCGGTCACGGCCTACCGTCGCTGAACTTCCTCCCTCCACTCGGCGTTTGTCATGCCCGGTGGTTTGGACGGCGGCGCTCTCGGCTTCCTCTGCTTTTCTTGGGCGACGAAGGCGGTCGCGGTGGTCGCGGCGCGGGGGATCACGTACTTCTTCGGCGGCATGGCGGCGGCTGGGAGGCGAGCGGGAGGGATATTGGCGGGAGGAAAGGAGGGAATGAGAGGGAAGTGGGGGGCGAGGGCGGGAAGAGGCTCTCGTCTCGCTGACAGAGCGGCCCCACACCCCTTTTCGCTTGTGCCGGTGCCCCCAGGCGTGCCCCAGTGCGCTGGGTTCGGCCTGGGTCCGCCGGCACCAGTTTCGGCCCGAGCCGGCGCAAAACGGGCTACTGGGGGCGCGACTTGGACGAATTTTGGGCCCCGGCGCGGCAAAAACGCCTGGAGAGGGCCTGTTGAAACCGCGGCTGGAGATGATCTTATGCACGCATGCCATTCACAAAGTCTGAAGTTACATTTCTTTATGCAATCCATTACCTATTTCTTTTAAGCATGTAACCATGCCATATCAGCACCTATATATGCATGTTTATCATAAGTTGCACCTTTTGTATTAATTTAACCATGCAACTATGCCACATTAGCAAGCTATAAATGTCGCTCATAATTTATATATTTGAATTAATTTTTATATTGCCATATATTGTATATGTGTCCTATACTTGAAGCATAACAACACAGTTCATGATTCCTATTCTTTATATAAGAAAATGGCATTTTGCTAACTACAATGCAAATCAAGAACATTCCCATATTCTTTTGTATTTCTTTTAGTTGCTTTTCTATCACCTAATAATACAGTTATTTTCACAAGGTATACACGGCAACACATGGGGCATCGTCTACTTAACTTGAGCGCGACAACAATGGAGCTCCCAATGCTCCTGGCGGCTCTCTTTCTGCACAGGTAAACTAAGCGATCCCAGGCCACCACCCACCACATCGATCACGCTGTTGTTGCTCAACTATAATTATTACCATGTTGTTATCGATGGAAACGCATCCTATTGAAAAACCTGTTATTGTAAAAAGTTCAAAATTTCAACTTTTCCGTTAAAAAAATCTGAAAACAAATATACATGGACGTAATATATATGTGTGTAAAATTTCACAATGAAATACCTTGATTGCGAGATGCACAAAAAAAATTCTGCACTTTGAGAATGAAGTGTAGGATTTGCTTTTATTGTGCATGTCTCTTTTAATGTATTTCACTGTGAAAATTTACACATGTTTACATTATGTCTCTGTGTATATGTGTATTTATTTTCATACTTAAAAAAATATCGGCCTCCAAGAACATGAGCTCCATTTAGAGGATGCAGTGTAGGATGTCCGCACTCACAAAAGGTAAATGTGCAGCTGTCCGCACCCACATTCTAATCATTCACTTGAACGCATCGATCTATATAAGATACATGCTTCTAAGTATTACGTACCCACAGGCCACAGCACTCCACACCAAACCATTCACTCAACAATGGAGTTCGTTATGCTCCTGGCCGTTCTCTTGTGCCTCCTAGCCGGAATGGTCATTCTGCGAAGTTACACCAGGCGAGCCCATGCTCAGGCCACCATATACCACGTCGGCGACCCAGCTGTTGCTCATCGAGCGCTCATTGGGAACGCCGACGACTTCTTAAACCGGCCGGCAGCGAGCTTCCCCACCTCCCTGGCCACCTGGCGCCATGGCGAACGCAACGACAACATAGCCACTGTGAGCTACGGCCCGCAGTGGCGAGTGCTCCGGTGCAACCTCACAGCTGAGATCCTCTCACGCCTCGGCTCGTTGGCCCCGCTGCATGAGGAGGTCGCCCAGGCCCTTGTCGCAGACCTCTCTGCCCGTTGCGGCGGCGGAGGCGACGTGGCCGTGCGTGAGCCCATCACCAAAGCTGTGTTCACGCTGGTCACACGCCTGTGCTTCGGCGATATTGTGGACGACAGCCAGAGACATGCCATTGGACGCGTGATACGCGACTCCATTGTCGCCGCAGGTAAGCTCAGCCCCGGGTTCGATGGCTCGATGCTATCCAAGCTCGCGAACTGGAGGGGGTTTCGCCGGATCTCCGCCGTGCTCAAACGGCAGCCCAAGCTGTACCTCCCTCTGATCGCGGCACGGAGTCAGTCGCAGTCTCAGCTCTGTGGTGGCATTGTCCATCCTTACGTCGACTCGCTCCTTGATCTTCGTGTCCCAGAGGACAATGGTGATGCCTCCGGCCCCGGGCGTCCTCTTCGAGACGGCGAGCTGGTGGGCCTTGTGTTCGAGTTCCTTGGAGCAGCCACGGGATCAACCGCAGCCTGCCTCGAGTGGACCCTCGCCCACCTCATCGACCAGCCAGAGACCCTGGACAAGCTGCGCGTCGAGATCGACGAAGAGGCCGACGCCGGCGGGATACTCTCCAGCAAGAGCCTTCGCGGCGGCATGCCGTACCTGAACGCTGTGGTCCTCGAATGCCTTCGCATGCACCCGCCGGTACCGGTCGTCTTACGCAGCGCCCACGGCGAGGGCGCCAAAGCGATCAGCGGCATGACCGCTGTGCCGGTGGACGGCCTGAACGTGCGGTTCAATTTAGCCGACATCGGAAGAGATGCCAAGAGGTGGACTGACCCTGATAAGTTTAGGCCGGAGCGGTTCCTTGCCGGAGGCGAGGCCGAGGACATCGGGCCGGCGCCGGGCCCCAAGGAGATCAGGATGATGCCGTTCGGTGCGGGACATCGGCACTGCCCTGGCGTGAACATGGGAATGTTGCACATCAAGTGCTTCTTGGCGGCGCTCGTGCACAACTTCGACTGGGCGCTGTCGGCGGAAGACTGCAGCAGCGGTGTCGACATGACGGAGCAGGATGGCTTCATAAAAATAATGAAGAAGCCGCTCTCCGCGCGTGTCACTAGACGCACTTGATTTCTTTTTAAATCTTTGACAAACTTGTGTCCGGTTTCTGAAAGCCTGGTTCTATTTTTCACGCACGTGTAGTTCTAATTTTCTGTTGAAGTTTGTTTGAGATTGCTTACCACACAGACCATGTTGTGTGTGTGATACTCGCATCCAGTAATAAGAAATCGTGTGCTTCTTGCTTCTTCCGGGCTCATCTGCACCCGCTTTCAAAGAAACATATCTTTACTGAGTTGGATTTTTCTGCTCCCGGGCTCATCTGCACCCGCTCTCAGAAAAAAATCAAAACAAAAAACTAGATAAATTCCAAAAAAATCTTATGTTTTTGTGTGTGGTAGATAATTTGATGCGTGAAGTGCGCTCCAAATTTCGACTCATTTGGACAACTGAGCAGCTCTCGGCAAAAAAGACAAAATCAGAGTCTGTAAAAAAGTTTACTGTTCACGCACTGTTCTGACCTGATTTGTCTTTTTTACCGAGAGCTACTCAGATGTTCAAATGAGTTGAAATTTGAAGTGGACCTCACACGTCAAATTATCTACCACACAAAAAAATAGATTTTTTTTGAATTTTTTTTTAAAAAAATTCTAAGCGGAAGCAGATGAATTTAGGCAACGAGTTGGATTTCCAATCTTTACTTGCATATTCCTAGTTTCCTAGTATGAAGGTTGAGGATCATCAATCAAAGTTACTTACTGGAAGCGGTGCAACATTGAAAAGCCCTCCTTTTTTTAATGGGAAAACCTATCTGTTTTGGAACGTAGTAGCAGTTCACAAATAGGATGCTTCTCCTTTCGTGATGCTAACGGGTTGTTAGAATTTTATGGTATTTTATTGTTGTGCTTGCACTTCTCTAAGCATCATACACCGTACGTGAAGCTCGGAAATTCGCAGGGGTACGCAGCTGCGGGAGCACGCACCTGCCCAGCCCTTCCCGGCCACCTAATTGTCTCGCGGTCTGCAAAAGTAGTTAGATCATGCATGAGAACACAGTAAATTAAAGGTTTTAATCTTTGAAACTTATGATTTTGTCTGAAACTATCGATTTTCTCGGTCGCTTGTATCAAGTTTCAGAGGTAAAACTTTAAGCGATTTTTTTGTACTAAAGTTGTTATTCTGTCGGTCGCTGGTACTATGTTTTAAAGGTTGAAATTGAACACATTTTTATTAGATCCTCAAAATGTACTTCAAATGGATCTATTTTTCAAAGCCCTTGTCACAAGAAACATGGATATTGCAACATAATTTAATTTAAACTTTTCAATCAAGAGATACGAAAAAATAAAAATTGGAAACCAAAAGAAAAAGTACGTGCGGGACTCGGTGCCCTGCACCTGCTTGGCCCAACCGCACTGCACCGAGTAGCAGCAGCTTGATTTGCATGTGCATGCATCGTAGCGATAACTCGAGATCATGGCCGGGACTGTAGCTCCACACTGCACCGAGTAGCAGCTTGATTTGCATGCGTAATAATTTCTCTAGCTACAAGGCGAATCGACCACTCCAAGAGTCGTTTGCTGAGATCCGTGATGATTCCACCGCACATGACTGGAGATTCTATTCCCATACACTCACGTCGTGTCTTGGCCCAACTCCCTCACGCGGACAGGATCACTGTTTTCACTTTTCACGCAAAGATTAACATAATTTGACCTTGTTAGAAAAAAAACGGATTTGACCTTTTTAGGTCATGACAACTTTTCTGGCGTTTTGGTTATACGGGAGACGTCATGGTCAACGGTGTATCACCAAGCGGTCAACTTGGTAAGCTATCTTAAAAAAAATTTGACAGTCAAATTGTCTAACGGTGTATCCACCCAAGCCCACACTTGTCTAGTTTGCGCCGATGTGGCATGATGAAAACGCCAAACTTCTTGGGTGGCGTTTCAGGGAACCGCCATATATCTTGGCTTTTGCTCCTGGCCGCTAAGATATGCTGACTCGGCTACCATCGTTGTATGCATGACTTGCCACTCGTTAGCTTCTCTGCGTGCGTGCGTGCATGCATGCATGCGTCTCATAGGTGGCTTAGGTAAGTAGGACGTTGTCCAGGATATTTGGTTCCGACAATGCATGAATGCAAATAACACAATTCAGAGATTACCGAAACATTTCCTCCAAATTAGATCGTGTCTTCATACTGTACGGTACTAACTAAGATGCTTGATGTCAATTCAGGCAAGAGAGATTAGAACAGTATACAACAGATGGGCAGGAGACAGGATAGGAGCATGGCTGGGCTCTAGCGTCATGTGTGCTGAAATCTACCCACTTTAAAAACAAGATTGACGGCGGCCGCCGCTCGAGCCTCGGCCACCGCATCTCACCATGGGCTGTGCCACCACCACGTCGCCGGCTACTGGCGACCGGAGGTGCCGCTCCGCCTCTATCACCTGTTTCCCCAACTTGAGGCAGACGACTCCTCGTGGCCGTGCGACACATGGGCGAGGCAGCACGCGGTAGGTAGCTCGCGAAAGTGGTCCCGAGATGTGAAAATTGTAGGATGGATGGATATTGTGTTGTGTTATTGATCTGATCCTCGTAGGGGTATATATAGAGTGCAACATGAGGGAGAAAGACTTGGAGTAGAGGGCAAGTTGTATACGATTTAATCCTATTCTATCTCCAACTCCTAATCTGTAACTTAAACATAATTATACTTCTAACATTTTCCCTCAGTCGTAGCAGGAGTGAAGCTGACGATTGCGACTAAATTTGCACCATCATCAACTACGTCTCTGATGGCTGATGGGTCGGCACCTATGGCTGTGACTGCGTCCCCTTCTGGTGCCTTCCCTGTCGTCTCCTCTATTCCCTCCCGCAGTCACAGCGAGAGTGTCGTGGACGCAAGTGACGAGGCGGACGCTGTTGACTAGAGTTGTTACCGATGAGTTGCTGTAGACGTAGCCATTAATGTAGTGGTAGCCGATTATGGTGATGTAGCCGTGGTCAAGGGTGTGGTCGTCGTAGATGATGAAGCCGCACAAAGCCGGAGGCGCAAAAAAATGCAATATGACGGAGCTCCAGACGTGGACGATGCACCTGGCGGGTGTCAGAGGGTGCCGTCAGCGACGAGTCCGCCGGTTTTGCCAAGACCGAAGGAAGCTCATCGAGCACACAACAGTTTTGCCAGAACCGTGTGGCCGTGTAGGGTCGTCACTGTAGTGATGCCGTGTCGATGCAGGCGTGCTGTCGTGGATGACGCGGTCGATGCCGTCGTCATGGTCGCGTCTTGCAGAAAAGTCTGTCAGAGAACGCTAGGTGTCTATCTTGTGGACAAGGCAGTGGCGGTGTGTTGACGAAGATGTTGATGAAGACCACTTTAATGAAGACCATGGCGATGAAGTGTCGGTGATGGCGTTGCAGCGGCGTGTCGACGATGATGTGTCGCTTGGAGGCGTCCCTCGTGGCGACGGGGTGTCAATGCCGTGTCGTGCTGGAGAAGTTGATGAAGAATTGCATCGCTTTCCACACGGGCCTGACGTGTGGATGATGCATGTCATGGTAGCTTCTCTTATATATGCTCGACGAAGAAAAAAAATTAGGCTTGATGTAGTCGTACAACTCGGTGTCGCGGCGCGGGGTCGATGAAGGTCGCTTGGTGCAGTTTTGTCGTTCAGCTCGATGAAGAATAGCTTTTTTTTAAGACAAACTCGCGAAACTTTTATTCAACCGTCACAATGTTTACAGGAACGAACAAAACATCGCCGGGGTGGCCTAACCAGACATGGCGGCCAGTCCCCAACGTTAATGCATGCTTCGCGAGGTTGTGACCCTCAAAGTTCGAGGATCTAAATTCATGACTAAAAGAACACGATGAGAAAAAACGAGCTCTATCCGTTATTTCATGTACCACTGCTCCATATGCTGCTGCCATTCCTCCTTTGATCGCCTCCACCACTGCCATGCAATCCGAGGCGATGAAAACTTTCTGCTCGTACAAATCCTCGGCAAGCGCCAGTGCTTCCCTGGTAGCTAGAACTTCAAGCACCTTCGGGTCCTCTATGTTGTTGAAAACAACTGCCGAGGCCCCCAAATACACACCCGATGCATCGCGGCAAACGGCTCCCACAGCCCCCCTTCCACCAGCACGCGGCACAGCCGCATCGATATTAATCTTAACATGATCATCCGGTGGTGGCTGCCAAGCAGTAGGGCGAGCCTTTGGAGTTGCCGGTGACCTGTCAATAGGTTTCTGTATGTGCTTCAAATCAGCCAAGTAGCTAGTGACAAAACCATGAGTAGCGAATGGAGGTTTGTAAATTCCTTCATGGATTATCTTTCTCCTTGCTGCCCAAATCGCCCATAATGTGACAATCATGGTAGTGAATTCCTCTTGAGGAAGCGATTCGCTCATCAGAAAGAGCCATCTCTTTGCCTGTTTGTCTCTCTGCATACACATATGCTGCACCATATCCTCATTTGATAGAGCCCACACGCATCGGGCGTAGTTACAGTCGAGAAGAGAATGGCGCCAGTTGTTATCTGCTCCGCATAACGCACACACATGCGATGATGACATGTTTCGACGGTGCAGAACATCACCGATAGGAAGTGAGTGACGAGCCAGCCTCCATGTGAATATTTTCAGTTTTGAAGGAACTTGCAATCCCCAAATAGATGACCATCCTTTGGATTCTCTGCTGGACATATCCTCGGCCTCATCTAGCCAGTCCTCCCTTCCCATCTTCAACTTATGGATCAATTTGTAAGCTGATTTTACTAAGAAACGGCCCCCCGGATCGCCCGACCATGCCCAAAAATCGTCCACTTGTCTAGTACAGAGGGGGATCTTCAGGATTCACTACTGAAAACAGGGAATTTGCCATCAGTCATCTCTTTGCCGTCTGCCAGCGGATGGCAAAGAACGTCTTTGCCATCCGCTTACAAAAAACAGATGGCAAAAACTGACAGATGGCAAAGAACCTGGTTGCCATCAGCCAGTTCTTTGTCATCTGCCAGCGGATGGCAAAGAATCTTTGCCGTCCGTTGGCAGATGGCAAAGAAGT